TTCCCTCTGAGAGGCACAGGTGCTCAGATGAGACACGAGTCTAACGCGCAGGGGGTCAGACGTGTCAAGACCTTCCACCGAAGTCAGGTACCTCGCGACTTCTGTCAAGCACTCCCGGAAGCCGATGCTCATGAAATCCATGGCCAGGGAATGAGCGTCAAAATAACCTGCAAGGGGAGAGCAAAAGGATGCATTGAGTGTCAAGCCAGCTTCCCAGATGACGAAGTTCTTCATGGAAAGAGTTGTGGGATATTGGAACAAGCTGCCCAGGGAGGTGGTTGAGTCACCATCCCTGGATATGTTTAAGCATCGCTTGGATGTGGTGTTGCGTGATAGGGTCTAGGGGTGAACTTGCAAGTAGAGTTAATGGTTGGACTCAATGATCCCAAGGGTCTTTTCCAACCTGGATGATTCTGTGTGTTTCTGTGTGATTCTGTGTTAGAGGTGACAGGGCTAACCCGGTCCTTGCTCTGCTGCCATGTACAGGTTAAGGTCTGCAACGTGAGAAGTTTGCTCTCTGATCTGTAAATTATTTGTGTGGCCATCCCTGTAATGCAATAGGCTGCAGTTGTTTTTGCAGACAATATACAAATGAAAAGAATTAAGTCCATAAATACTTGTGATACTTAAAAAGGCACACAATGCCTCTCCTGAAATTCCTCAGCAAGCTGCTGCAGTGCAGTGTTGATCCTGTGCGTGTGTGTGTGAACGAGATGTTTATCCACACAAAGAAACAGGCTGGAGATCAGAGAGCTTGCATGTATTACCCTGCCTTCTCTTCCCTACGCTGGCATTCATTGTAATGCTCTCAAACTACTTCTCAGTGCAGTGAGATAGTTGTTGTAACTGCTGCCAGGGTCCCATCTACTTCACAGAGTCATTAAGACAATATGACATACGGTGTTACTTAACTACAAACTAAAAACATCTTGTCATGACTCTGCACACACACAATAAAAAGCTTTACTGAGAAAACGTTTTATGTAATGCCATTGCTAATTTGGAGATGGAAGACTGACAGTCATATGGCCCATGAGGTATTTCAACAAACAGCAACTGGAGCTCCACAGGCTTAGGACAAAAAAGCATATAAAAAGAAAAGAGAAGTCTTATTAAATGCACATGAAATGATACTCCCTTTATAAAAGCATCTAGCATCAAATCTAGTGCTTGAGCTACAGATCGTCAACTACAAAAACCTATTTTGGTCTTCAGAATTTTCCTGGTTTAGTATAAAAGTAGTCTCCCTGAAGAAATAATGTTCCATCCACTCCACATCACTAGTACGGTGCTTTTTCCTCTTGCTTTCAGACAAAATTTTTAGGTACGTGTGACTATGCTGTATGTTAGTATATAGAGATCAAATACCTTAATTATGCAGGAATGAAATGCATTAGGACTTGCACTCTCTGGCATGAAACAAACTCAGTCTTCGTGAAAAATGCTAGCACCTTAGATAGTTGTTTTCACTTTTATTGACCTTCAAGCAAGAACAGAGCCTTTCTATTGCTGCATGCCCGCACTACAGAATTAACTTGGGTAAAGATGTCGCCACAAATCCCCCGCTAGCCATATATATATACCCCTTTTTGTCAAATTACGACAGCCATTTTGACACAGGCTGCCCTGCTCATCCGAGGCTGTACGAAACCCAAGACAAACGCTGGCTTGGCCAGCAGGTCAGTGAGCACGAGGGGTCGAGGACTAGTCTCAGCAAGCACGGACTCCTCACAGCTTTTTCTCCTGCCGAATCCACCGTGACCAAGCGACCTGTGGAGATGCCGAGGTTTGAGCGAACTCCTGAGAAGCAAACACCAGGCAGGAGAGCAGCAATGAGCTAGCAGGGTACCTGCTCGGGTGCCAGCCAGCTTGGCACGGGGACTGCCTCCACCCCGGAGGCTCCAGAACCTCCAGTGGCTTCAGAAGGGCTGACAAGCAGCCAAAGCTGCCTCCCAGCTCTGGCCATGAGTCAGCCAGCCTGGGAGTCCTGAGAGCGCGCGGCTCAAGCCAGGGCTTCCCGGCCTCCTTCCCTTTGGACCAGAGGAGACGTGGGGGATGTGGTTGTCACCAGCCTCCCCTGAGTCTGAGCTTCTGGCTCTGTGACGAGCCGTGCCAAAAGCCCTGGTGATCCTGGCTCCCTCTCAGTCTCCTATGGTGGCCGAGACAAGAAAACAGAGGGAAGATGAGAGCTGTGACTCCCAGGCTCCTTTATGTTTTGATTTTGATGGTTATCTTTTCCAGGTTCCCCTTTTGTTGGCTTATGCCTTCGGTAAGAGACTTTAAAATGTTGTTTCTCGTTTCTTTCCAAAACCCAAGAACAGCCCCCCCCAACATGTGTACATGCCTGCGTTTTGTAGAGAACAGCAAGTCTCATTTTTACTTCAGCTATGCTGGTAACCTACCTGCTCTGCACACAGGACACTGGCTAAGCCATTTTAGCTATATTAACCTGTGTTGCTAATCCACATGTCAGTCACCCAAGCTAAATTTGCAGTGAAGCTGCAATAAAACCACACTGAGGTCCCAGCAAGCGACTTACTGTTGACAAATTACTCCTCCCCTGTGCTTGCTTGCACCGTCAGGGAAAAGCCCTGGCCCCAGGCCAAAATAATAACTCTGCCTGAACATGAGACCATTGCCTGCACCTGCACCAGGGAGGCAGAAACACAGAGTCCGTGCAGGACCTCAGATGCAGCAGCCTGCCTGCCTAGGCAGTTCCAAAAAGCAGAGAAGGGACAGGAGCCACATCAGATTTTCTTCCACTTTGTCTGCCTAAGGCTCAACACACTTAGCAGTGGCCAACTCCACCCCAGTTTCTCTAGCCCCCGGCATTCCCTGTTACGAGTGTCCTCCATTTCTGCGTGAGCACAAAGAAGACGAGCCCTCCCCGACCTTCAGTGCAGGGGAGCATAAGGGCATCAGGATCCATTTCTCCCTGCTGCAATAATAACATTTGCCCATCGGAAAAAATGATGGAACAAATTTTTTTGATGATCCAAAAACTTTTCTGGCTCACTAGGTGAGTTACAAAGTGGGAACAACTGTGCTTGCAAATAAGTATCTGCCTTAAAAAGACCCTAAGAAATTATATTTAAAGCTGTGACTTAGGTTGCAAAGTAAAACATTAAGCAAGCAGGAAATGCAGGCTTAAACTTTGCCCGGTAGTAACTCACAAACCTCTTTTTCTTAAAGTTTCTTAATCCATGCAGTGAGATTACTCTTATCTCTGTGTCAGAAGGAGAAGATAAAGCCATAGTATTTGTGAAGCAACCGGGTATTATACTGACGTGCAACCCTCAATGGACCACCGTGCAGAAAGCGGCTGCGGATATAAGCCGGTGTCGTGGCGGTGGCAGACCAAGGAACAGATTGCGGGACCTGGGACTGCTAACAAAATCCAGTTTGTCCTGCCACAGTTCAAGGCTGGGCCTCTGCTGACACCTCTCTCTGCCTCACTACTCCCATCCCAGCCACTTCATCCCCTTCTTCACTAGCTGGGCCACCTGACCTGACCCAGTTATAATATAAACCCCCACGCACTTTTTTCGGGCGGGGAGGCAAGAGAAGAAGGGTTCCTAGTAAATGAGGCTTCTGATCGTCGCTGTCGACATTGGAGGGGTGGGGAACGCAGCTTTCCAGAGGAACAATACACAGCGTGAAGCGGGGGTCAGGTCACACGGGGAGGGTGAAGTGAAACAAGAACCTCTTCCCTCAGCAACTGAGCGTTGTTCACGCCGTGCACCCGGTGAGACAGAGCTCGTGGACAACAGGCGCGCAACCAGGGCTGTAAGGATGGCACTGTCACGCACACGCACGGAGGAACTGAATTCAGATTGCACAAGCATGATCCATTCTGGTGTTTCGTAACTTTCAAGAATGTAGCTTTACTGACTGAATATTACTCTTTAAAGGACATTTTTAGATATAGAAATTAACTTATTTTTTAAATTTTGCATGTTTTCTGAGGAATCAAGAGGTGTGTCTGTTCTATGAAGGGCAATAAAATTACTTTCTTAGAGAACAAGCTATCCATAAATTTTAAGCTTAAACGGACACTCAGCAAAAGCCTCTTAAGACCTAGAAAATACATATGTCAGCTTTGTGTTAATTTTCAGAAATGACAGCCTTTCCTATTTGTTGTTAAGCATGTACTGATTATAAGCTGAATTCTATAATCACTGTAAGGTACAGAAAGGAGCAGTAATTCAGTCAGGGACTAAAAAATTTTGAGTTTAATTAAAAACAGGAGGGAGCGAGCAGCAGCTGCCTCTTTTCTAGCCTTCTACCTATATGGCAGAATGGGTCAATGAGAAAAATCGTCTGGTTCCCATTGCACTGATCTGAGCCATAACCACAGTCGATGGCACAGGACATGGGACCATGCTTAGAGGAGGCCAGCACGTTTTTCTCTCCAAATAAGTTCCAAAATCATGACTACACAGAATACCTCGTGGGTGGCTGAAATAATTTGGCCTCCCGGCTTGGGACTGTCAGCTTGTACAAGCGAGGTACGCTCGACTCCCAGCAGTCAGATGATCCAGTGGGGTCAACCAGTGCAGCCTCTGAGTCATGCCAGTACCCACTCCCAGGGAGCCGCCACCCAGACCCCCTGACACACAAATACAGTGTGAATATATACAAATATGAGTGCAGAGAGCACTGCTACCTGTCTGCCTGTCTGCTTTGGCAGATAACTGGAGCTGCATTGAGCAAGGCTGGGTTTTGTTCTGGTAAGACGGTCTAACCTGGCATTTAAAAGTCTTTCCAGAACAAAGAAGATACATAAACAATAATGAAAGTTCCTCTCCATCCACTTCCTTCAGTATAGCTGCTGGGTAATGAGGTTTAGCATGGTTTTTGTGCTACACAATTGTTGCCACAAACCTCCTGTTTATGTTTGGTGTTTGTGTATTTGTTTTGTCTCCCTGTGCAGATTTCAGTGCTCTTTGGAAACCCCAAACAAATCTCTGACTGGGCTGCCTGTGAATGAAGCCTTTACTCCCACAGTGTTATGAAAGCAAACACAAGCCCAGGGTCAAGTGCTTCTTTTGTCCCAGTAGTTCTTTCCCACGAGTTCAATCCTGCCATTAGCATTGATTTCCACTCCTTTAATCTGGAAATGCCTATCACAGCTCCTCAAAGCATTTTTTTTGCTGAGTTTTCCCCAAATATTAGAAAAGAAACCATCAATTCCTTACCTTTACCTCCCGTTGCCTGCAGCATCTTCAGATGATCCACTGTCATTTGCAGTATTTCTGCTTTTTCTAATTTGGCAGATCCCTTTGAGATAAGAGACTCATATAAATAACGGCTTACAAGTACTAGAAACTTCAATTTGATATACTTTTCACTGAGTTCAGCCTTATGGTTTCAATCTCTCATATCATCAGGACATTCTCGGCTTAATCCTTTCACAAGCATCTGCCTCCCAGACTTTGTCTAAGGACTAAGCAGAATTTTGCTATTGCTCACCGTAGGTCTGGCCTTGAAGATAGCGTAGAGATGACATCTTCATGAAATGTGACATACGTAACATTCTGGACTTTCTTTTAAACCACAAACACAAATGGAGAGCTGGCGGGACAGGTCTGCACAGCTAGCGACAAAGACCTTGTCACAAGATTTTTTTTTTTCTGCTTTTGCCAGTAGGTGTCCCTGTGGACACACACCCAAAAGTATCTCTCTCAATCGCCTGTTAATTTTTGACATGTCATTTGGCTGCTGAAAATTCTGTTCTCATTCTCGACTGAAAAACAGCTGCACAGTCCACAGCATTTAAGTAGTAAGAGGCCTAGTTTGCAGAGATCTGAAGCTAAATACTGTGGGGGAAAAAAAAAAAAAAAAGAGTTCAGCTCGTCTGTCAATAACAATCTTTTCTGTTACTGGGTCTGGCTTCCAGAGCTACAATAGGTGCCAGAAAAGTACAAAATACAACCAAAAATGTAGTATTAATTTATTAATGCATAAATAAAACTATTCTGTATGGTGGCATTCCTTTCAGTATCTGCACACGGCCGAGTTCGCCACACAAATGTTACTCCAGTGCAAGACACCATCCCTTGACATCAGTTAAAACCAGGGCTGTGCAAGCCGCAGCCATCGGCAGATCGCATCCTGCAAGCCAAATTTTTCTCCCAGTTACTGCCTGGACTGCCTCGCTGCCATCCGCTGTCCCACAACCTCAGCTGGCATCACCCGGGTTGCACGCGTGCAGGTTAGGTAAGGCTTAAACCCCCTGCCCCAGCCCCGCTTCGCCAGCGCTAATCTCTGCGAGGGACTCTGGAGAGCGGATCTGTGATTTGGAGAGGGAGGGAGGCGGAAGCGAAACTAAACCTCCAACTTGGAAACTTAAGTGAGCTGAATGTCAAGGAGCTGGAAAAGGACTGATGACTTTGGCCTTGGCATATTCCAGAAAAATGGTGGGGCTTTCTGAACATAAAATACAGCGTGCGCTCATTTCTACGCAGATATGCATTTTTTCAATCCCCCTATCGCTTTCGGCACTTTCCCTGGACAAAGGTTGCCGCGTGTGTGAATTTTTGGTCAGAATTCCCCATTTTACATGCGACTACATCCTGTAGTTTTCTCAGACTTCATCTTTTCCATCGACACAGGACAAGTCGTCTCAGTGAGAGTGACTAATAGCTAAAAACTGCATGGTGCTGGGTAATTTCCAAAGGCTCTGTAGGACTTGTTTTATAATGTTTGTGGTTTTCAAGAAGTAAACAATAAAATGAGACAAACAACCGTTGTCCCTTGCCCCTGTTTATCTAGCCGAAAATATGTCTGTCATTCCATTTTGTCAGAACCTATAGAGGGGCACAGTTACAACTACTAGCTATTAAAAGTGTAATGCAGGTGATACAAGTGATGCTCTCACCATGATTACAGTATTTAAAATTTCTTTGTAGCTTTTGTTCAGACTAGAGATGAAACAGGCCTAATACAGTGCGCTGCTTGTCATGCAATTGCCACTGGCATTCAGCACCTTGCAATCCTGCTCTCAAATTTTACTTTCTGTTTTTTATTTTTCTACTATGAGGAAATTGGGTTCTTTATTTTCAGTCGATTCCTTTTTATTGAAACGCAATGTCAACTGCACCTAGCCATAAATCTTCAAATACCTCCACCAAAACAGAGACAAGGCTAAATATTTAATCAAAGCCCTAAAAATTAAAATCAAGGTATGGAAATAAATAAATAATTTAATTTGAACAGCATAAATGTAATACCCTTTTTACAGGATATACTATATTCTAAGGTTTTGGACTGTAATTTCATGACCAAGTTGCTGAACCAAAGTTACCTGAAACAAAGTTAGCCGAATCCTTCCAGCCTTCCCAATAAATACTTTCTCAGTGAAAGTCTCTGAACATATCACTGACTCGCTAGCTCACATGACATCGGTCTATTCCCCCTCCCAATGCGGTGGTTCCAAAGAACCATTTTAAAACATGAATAATCCAGACTGTCTCTTATCTTTTTTTTTTCAGGAAACTGCATTGATTAGTTTGCAGCTGAAATTACAGATTAAAAATTAAAGGTTTCTAAAAGTAGGGGCAATGGAGATTACAATTAAAAATTTAGACAGAAGTCTAACTGACATACAGGTTTGGGAGAGCTGTGGTTATTATTTATAATCTTTTTTAAATACGGAGTAAAGCGCATTTTTAACAAAACCACTACTGGAATTCATCGAAAGAACAGAGGCAACATCAACACAGCTACCCTTAAGGGAAAAACAAGCCAAAGAATGGAAATGTTTTTCAGCCTTATAATGAATTATGTTTCTAATAGTTTCTCCACAAGAAAGCATTTTATTGAAATGCCTGCTTTGTGCCAGATCAGGACACATACAATATTATTCTAATGAGTTTTACAAGAGAGCTGACATTGCCAGATGAGATACAGAATTTAAAAAAAAAACACACGCTTACTTGTTTTTCAAAAGCAGTTGGCACAAGCCGCCTCAGCTCTGATAAACTGTTATTTATACGATCACGGCGCCTTTTCTCTATAATCTATTTCCAAAAAAACAAAACACATTAAGTTTATAAAAAATGTTGAAGGTTAGAATCACAGCAGACATGCAAATTGTCACACAGGAAAAGAATTAAATGTAACGTACCCCTCTTCTTTTCTTTCTGGCCATAATCTGAGATGTTGTTGTTGGGGAATTCGATCGAATGACAGAGCTATTACTTTGCCTGTGAAACAATAAAAGTTTGTCAGGTGTTGCACACTTTGACACTGCTCTTTGAAGATACCTTAAGTCACTATATTAAATGTGCGTAGTCCCTCTCATGACATTTTCAGCATAGAGAAGACATGTTTTGCACCACGTAATATTTTTAGAGAGAGAGGTCTTTCATTTTCGATTGCTCCAGCATAGCTTTTGAATTGACAGAACGCTCCATTGGAAATAAAGTCCCTTTCTGGAGATGGTTCACGGCCCAGCTCAGCTGATTTTGCTTTCATTGCATATAAAGCCCTGCCTACCAAATACAGGCTGAAGAACTGAGTCCAAAACCACGTGAACCATCTCCATATGCTCACGGCAGTAGTAAGTACACGTATTCGATGCCACAACCTCTGCCTGGCTGCTCGGTTTTGACATTCCTGCCCATCGCTGCAGGAAGCAAAAGATGCTCAGGTACGCAGCCACTTGCCCAGCCTGGGCCTGTTGTGTTGCCCCGCATCAGGAGCAGAATTCAAACCCCACTTTCAAAACTACATTACCCGGGAGAGGGCTTTTACTTCATCGCGAGCGAGCAAAAAAAAAAAAAAATCCAGTAGCTTTTAATATTCATTTACCCACTGACGCGGACGAGATGGGGCTCTCATGCATGTGCCCCTAATTTGGCAAGGCCACCTCTGAAGAGCAGCGCGGCCCCTGCGGAGCCCCCAGGCCGGCTCAGCCCTGCCTTGGGCAGGATCTTTGCTCCAGTGACCGTCCCACCGCTGGGCAGCACAGCCCCCCCCCCAGCGCCGCCGATCCCTTTAGGTTGGTCGGCCTGCCCGGGAGCTAGCTGGGAGCTAGAAAAGGTCTGATTGAAAATGGCAAATTAAGCGGAGCTAATGAACTGCAGCCCGGCGGCTCACAAGCTACTTGATCGCTCCGCAGAATTTCAAGGCTC